TCACCATCTCAACCACTTTTCTGTCTACAAGGTTCGGTACTCACTACCACCACCTTCATGACCCACGTCAGGTCCCTACTTACACAACTAGGCCTAAAATCAGCTAACTATTCGGGCCACTCCTTCCGCATAGGTGCGGCCTCCACAGCGTCCAGTGCAAACATTCCAGTACATGTTATCAAGTCACTAGGGCGCTGGAAGTCTTCTGCATACTCTAGATACATACCTAACCCGGTACAAGAAGTTAGAAATGCCTTTCAAGATATGTCTGGTTAAAGTATGTATATTGCTCATTTCGTAATAAAAGTTTATTTTCTACTTTTGCCCTCTTTATTTGCAGGCCTACCTCATCGTCGGTTCCGGCACACCACAACCGACTTGCTCTTTTAATACCATCCCACACTTATCAGTGTTTGTATCTTCTGTACTATCATGAGCCCTTAACACAAATATATATATATATATATATATATATATATATATATAAAAACACCCTACATAGCACAATGTATTATGGGGCTGACATAGATTTTTTTCCAGGGCTGCTTCGTATCCCCAGTCCGGCCCTGCCCGTAAGATAAAGGGCTCAATTTAAGATCCTGGTACTTGCTTACAAGTCTCTAGATCAGGCTTCCCCAAATTTCGGCCCTCCAGATGTTGCTGAACTACAACTCCCATGATTCTCAGCCTATTTCATTCATAGAATCATGGGGGTTGTAGTTCAGCCTTTAAGACTTCTCTAGTGCTGCACCGTTCCTGTGGAACTCTGTTAATTTCTCCATTAGGCTTTCGCCCAGTCTCCAGTCCTTCGAAAAATCTATGAAAACTCACTTTAACAGCTTTCCCTCCCTGCACCCTGATTCCTCTCCTACAACTGTCAAAAAACAAACAAAAACAAAACACGAAGTCCTCCGTATAAACCATTCTAGCAACCTACCTTTCTACCCTATCCTTACATTTTCTGTCACTGTACCCCGCTCCCTCTACCATGTAAGCTCATTGAGCAGGGCCCTCAACCCCTCTGTTCCTGTGCATCCAACTTGTCTGGTTAAAATTACATGTCTGTTAGTCTAAACATTGTACAGCACTGCAGAATTTGTTGGCGCTATAAAAATAATAACTCGGAGGAAATCTGAAGAGACATTCAAGATATTTTATCACATTCGAGCTGACATACCCTTTGTAATTAAAGCAGGACATATAGGCATGCTCTTTCACTAGGTCCACACGGCTCAGATCAGACCCATCATAATTATAAGGTGCGGGGTAACTGCCAACAAAAAGTTTGTTAAGGTGGAATTCCTTCTGTCCTAGGTGCAGTGGAGATCTCTCTGATACCAGGCTTAGCCTAATGAGAATATTTTACAGAAATAGTTTTCTTATATATTTGAATATTTATGAAAGTCAAAATAGCTCACTGACACCATTTGAAAATTGAAAATTGGGTTTCCAACCTAATGAAATGTGCATAATTTGGGTCCCTAATTAGAAGAAAGGTTAATAACCATTACAGTCAGATCAAGACAGGATTTCAAGCTTAGAGTGAGGGGGGGTGATGTGAGAGTGAGGCGGGGGATGCTGAGGGTGGTGGTGAGGGGGTGACTGAGGGTGGTGAGAGGCTGAGGCTGAGGGTGGTGATGCTGAGGGATGAGGGTGTGGGGAAGTGATGCTGAGGGTGGTGGTGGAGGAATACTGAGGTGGTGATGCTGAGGGGTGTGGGGGGTGATGCTGAGGGGTGGTGGGTCAGAGGTGATGCTGAGGGTGGTGAGGGGGTGATGTTGAGGGGGTGATGCTGAGGTGGTGGCTGAGGTGGAGGGGTGAGGTGTGAGGGTGGTAGGGGGTATGGTGGGGGTGGTGAGGGGTAATGCTGAGGATGGTGAGGGGTGATGCTGAGGGTGGTGGGGGTGATGTTGAGGGGTGGTGATGCTGAGGGTGGTGGGGGTGATGCTGAGGGGTGGTGAGCTTAGGGTGAGTGGGGAGGCTGAGGGGTGGTGGGGGGTGGGGTGGAGGCTGAGGGTGGTGGGAGGTAATGCTAAGGGTGGTGGGTGGTGGTGAGGCTGGTGGAGGGGGTGGTGAGGCTGAGTATGGTGGGGAGGCTGAGGGTGGTGATGCGGAGGGTGGTGGGGGTGATGCTGAGGGTGGTGAAGGGGTGGTGAGGCTGAAGGTGGTGGGGGTGGTGAGGCTGAGGGTAAAGGGGAGGCTGAGGGTGGTGGGGGGGTGGTGAGTGTAGCGGATGGCCATGAGCTGCCCTGGGACTTACATTATGTTTAAACTGTATTCGTCTATTTGCTAAATGTCTATGCAGTAAGGGAATGTATTCGTGTAAAATAGCTAAGTTCTATGTGTAAAATGTATTGGATTCATCTGAATGTAAGGTAGTTTCATTCCCTTAGTTTGTTCGAATGAAACTACTGAACAGTCAGACCTCCCTGTGTGAAGTGTGCCTTCAATTACCCGTTGCAACATTGTTGCGAACGGGTAATTGACAAGCTGTGTAGCAATCCTTTGTTCCCAGGGGTGGCCGCCATTCGAGAAACGAACACGTGGCGGCGGCCATCTTAACCTCCCGAACAACGGTGTTTTGCCGTCGAGTGTCTGGAACTAAAAACAGACACTCGATTAGGCGAACACCGCTGAGACCTCCATCAGCCCGGTCCGTTCGGTTCCAAACTACCGAACGGCCCCTCGTTCGGTAGGCATAATCAACCGAACGAGGGGATTCAGGTGAACCCTCCCAAGCCTCTATAGCTGGAGGCTTTCAGGTACTGCATTCGCCTTTTCCAGGACCGACCGCAGGGCCCCATCACATGGAGCCCAATTCGGCTAGTTCATCCAGCACGGTCGGTCATTTTATTCCCTCCAGGAAATTCCCGAACCCCTGGTCCAATCTGGGTGATTTTTGGATATGTTGTTCACCCAGATCAGGGCTACCAGGGGATGTATAATTTAAAGGGGTACCCCTAGGTTTAGGGGTACATCCAGAAACGGGGGGAATTGCTGTACTGGATAAGGGGATTATGATGCCGGCTGAGGGGAGGAGATGTGTGGGAGGTTACCAGGACAGGATTGGCTACTGTATTAATGAATGGAGCATGCTATAGAAGGCACTGTGGAATAAAGGTTGTTAGTTCTGCTCCTGAAACTGTGTGTCGTCCAGTTATTGGGATTGCTGTTGGGATACTGCTGTGTTATTTTGCCTGCTGGAAACCTTGCCTGTGGATTTACAATTTACTTGTTCCTGAGCCTCACTTGGATTATAAGCGGAGATAGCCTGGGGAATATTGTATCTCCGCTACAGTGAGTCTGAGGGTGGTGGTGAAGCTGAGGGTGGTGTGGGGGGTTGAGGCTGAGGGTGGTGGGTTGGTGAGGGTGAGGGTGGTGGTAATGCTAAGGGTGGTGGGTGGTGAGGCTGGTGGGGGGATGTTGGCTGGGTATGGTGGGGGTGATGCTGAGGGTGGTGGGGGGGTGAGGCTGAGGGTGGGGGGGTGGTGAGGCTGAGGGGTGGTGGGGGTGATGCTGGGGGTGATGCTGAGGGTGATGCTGAGGGTGGTGGGGGTGATGCTGAGGGATGGTGGGGTGATACTGAGGGTGGTGAGGGGTGATGCTGAGGGGTGTACTGAGGGTGGGGGGGCTAAGGGTGGTGGTGAGGCTGAGGGTGGTGTTGAGGGGAATGGAGGGTGGTGAGGGGGTAATGCTGAGGGTGGTAGAGGGGTGTCACGGAGGGTGGTGATGCTGAGGGTGGTGAGGGGAGTGTGCTGGGGGTGGTAGGGGTGATCAGGTGGTGATGCGAGGTGGTAGGGGTGTTGAGGAGGGTGGTGATGCACTGAGGGTGGTGGGGGGTGATCACAGGAGGGTGGTGATGCTGAGGGTGGTGGGGGTGATGCTGAGGGGTGGGGGTGGGAGGCTGAGGGTGGGTGGAGGCTGAGGGAGGCTGAGGGTGGTGTGGGGGGTGAGGCTGAGGGTGGTGGGGTGGGGTGGCGATGCTGAGGGTGGTGGGGTGGTGAGGCTGACTATGGTGGGGAGGCTGAGGGTGGTGGGGGGTGAGAGAGAACCTACCTTTACTCCCTGGTGGTCCAGTGGGCTCCCTGGTGGTCCGGTTGCCATTGCTTCCATGTAATCTCGCAAGACCATCAGAGTGTTGCCGTGGTAACCGAGGACCTGACAGTCTGCCCACTGGCGGCGGCGAGGCCCCAGCCAGCGCAAGGCCTTAGGCGGCCGCCTAAACCGCCTTATTATAGTGCCGCCTCTGTCTGTCCCCTTCCAGTTAATCATGGTTTCCAGCTTCCAACGTTGTTATCCAATAAGGAGCATTTTCTCTTCATACATGCTGCCATTGTTCTTCCATTTCCATGGATTTTTAAAAAAAATATTTAATTCTTTATTTTGTTGAGGTAATATATATTTAAAAATGCAGATTCAAATACAATTTACAAGTGGATGCTGAAATACCAACAGCTGGGAAATTTTATTCTGCTTCTGTTAGCTACACAGAGCATGCCTGCCTGCCTGCTTATTACCCAGCACCGATTGAAAGTCTGCACCTGGGAAAGAGGGGATGGCTTGCAAAGGCTACAGATAAAATGTGTGCATGTTTTTTGTATGGAGGTATATCTACTAAATAGTGGGGGGGGGAGTGTTCCTTAAATTCAGTAATGTATCTTAAAAGATATCATTGTTCAACTCCTCTTATTTTAGGTCTCTAAAGTTTAATGCCCTCCTCATACTCTCTTCATCTCACCTCCCTGTACTCAACTCACATCAGTCTCTCTCCTCCTGAGTAAACCCCCATCGGTGTCACTACTCTGGAAACCCTAATTTGTGTGTCTCCTACTGTGCAAACCCCCAGTTTGTCCAAACCCCAATCAGTATTTCTTAACACACATATCAAACCCTACTGGGAAACACTAGTATTGCAAACTTATACTACAGGGCCGTTGAATGCTTCAATCCGATTGGTTGACGAACGTTCTAAGGTGTGCATTATTTTCAGGGAGAAGCACGGCTAAAGTAGTTCCAGACAGGTCTTGACTGCATTACAGTTGCGTAAGAAATTAGTCCTACATACAAGAGCATTTTAATGACAAAACTTGACAAACGTCTTGAAATACATAATCTGAACAATGTTTCGAGGTGTGGTAACTGTAGTATAAGTGAAATAATTGACTCCAGGCCATTGAATTATTAGAAAAAAAAATAATGCACGCACGAGGTGTAACGGTCATTTCGTGTCATGACCGCATTACCACCTCGGGTGTGCCTTATTTTTCTAATAATTAAACAGCCTGTCGTCAATTATTCCTTACATAATCTCACATCCATAGTCCATACTGAGAAGTCCTGGCATTTGTATTGTATTTATATAGTCCAGGCAGCCAGTGGCGTACATACCAGGGTCGCAGGGGTCGCGGATGCGACCGGGCCCAGCCCACCAGGGGGCCTGGCCGCCCCTGCGACCCGGTATGTAGCCACAGGGCCAGCCTCTTCCCCTGGGGGGCCCAGGAGCCGGGCGGGCAGGCAGGCAGGCGGGCGCGCGAGGGAGCACTCAGTGCTTCCTCTTCAGCTCCTCACAAGCATCCACTGAGCACCGGAGCCGGAAGATGACGCCATCTTCCCGGCGCCGCATCCCTACGCCGCCACTTCCAGGGAGCTGAAGAGGAAGCACTGAGTGCTCCCTCGCGCGCCCGCCTGCGCGACCGGCCACCCGCCCAGGAGCCCAGCAGCACCACTGGACCCCAGGGAATCCCCCCAGCACTCCAAAAGGTAAGGAGGCTGGGGGGATTAAATTAAAAAACAAACAAACATGTGTTAGTGTTTGAGTGTGTGTGAGTGTTAGAGTGAGTGTTAGTGTGAGGGTTAGAGTGTGTGTGTCTGCTAGTGAGTGTTAGTGTTAGTGTGTGTGTGTCTGCTAGTGAGTGTTAGTGTGAGTGTTAGAGTGAGTGTTAGTATGTGTCTGCTAGTGAGTGTTAGTGTGAGTGTTAGAGTGAAAGTGAGTGTGTCTTACTGAGTGTGTGTGTTAGTGAGTCTGTTTGATGTCTGTTCGTGAGGGTGTTTGTCAATGAGAGTGTATGTTTTGTAAGTGAGTGTGTATGTATGTCTGTCGCTGACTGTGTCTCTGTCAGTAAATGTGTGTGTCTGTTAGCTAGTGTGTATGCGTCTGTAAGTGTGTGTGTGTCTTCAGCACTTACCTTTCTCCAGCGCCGGACTCCCTTGGCGCTGGGGATCCCTCAGCCTCTCAGCTCCAAATGCGACCGCGCACGCATTCAAACCGCCCATAGGAAAGCATTAATCAATGCTTTCCTATGGACGTTCAGTGTGCTCCTCTAGCGGCTGTCAGTGACACAGCCACTAGAGGCTGGATTAACCCTCAGTGAAACAGCAGTTTCTCTGAAACTGCTATGTTTTCAGCTGCAGGGTTAAAACTAGAGGAACGTGACACCCAGACAACTTCATTGAGCTGATGTGATCTGGGTGTCTGTAGTGGTCCTTTAAAGGACCACTCTAGTGCCAGGAAAACATACTCGTTTTCCTGGCACTATAGTGCTCTGAGGGTGCCCCCACCCTCAGGGACCCCCTCCCGCCCGGCTCTGGAAAGGGGAAAAGGGGTAAAACTTACCTTTTTCCAGCTCTGGGCGGAGAGCTCTCCTACTCCGATCCTCCTCTTCTCCTCCCCGTCGGCTGTATGCGCACGCGCGGCAAGAACTGCGCGCGCATTCAGCCGGTCACATAGGAAAGCATTCATAATGCTTTCCTATGGACGCTGGCGTGCTCTCACTGTGAAAATCACAGTGAGAAGCACGCAAGCGCCTCTAGTGGCTGTCAATGAGACAGCCACTAGAGGAAATAGGGGAAGGCTTAACCTATTCATAAACATAGCAGTTTCTCTGAAACTGCTATGTTTATGAAAAAATGGGTTAACCCTAGCTGGACCTGGCACCCAGACCACTTCATTAAGCTGAAGTGGTCTGGGTGCCTAGAGTGGTCCTTTAAGTGTGTGTGCATCTGCATGCACTGGCGTACATACCGCGGTCGCAGCCCTGTAACCTCTGCGACCAGGTGCCCACCGTCATGTGTTGCGGCCCGGCCCGCGCGCGGGGGGGGCCCACGGATCAATTTTCGCACCGGGGCCCCATGGGTCATGTGTACGCCACTGCAGGCAGCCTTATTTACCAGCTGTGCCAGTAAAATACCGATCAGGGGGGTAACCCTATATGACTGGAGTAGCTGGGACAAAACTATGTTTTACACCCTCTATAACTGTTCCTGCAGCTCTGCCATCAGACATCGGAGGCTGACTGGACTACAAAGGACACTGGCCATGGCTTTTGTTACATCTCTCTCGCCATCAGCCTCTAATGCAATAAATAGGGTATATTATAAATGATGAAAACAAGCGCCTCGTACAAGACTGGTGCCTGTAAGCAGGTGTTTCCTCTGCCAAATGGTGAATCCAACCCTGGATGCAGTGACAATGGTTTTTAACATGTGCATTAATTCAAGTTGACTTCAAAGATGTCTTGTTTGCACGATCCAAAGATTCTGTCCATTGATACAGAGAGTGGCGTTAAAACCCAGGGTTAGATCTAGGCTAGGGCATAGTTTCATATAAGATCTGTGACATCCATAAGTGAAATGATAGGACATAAAGAGGACATTTGTGAACACAATCAATAGTCATCACAGGATAAAGGATTTTATTAATAAGTTCATAAGAATGTAGAAAATGCATTTCTCAAAACCATTAATATGGTGAGTTTTAGATTATCTTTGGTGGAGATACTTATTGTACACATGAAATGCTAGACTTTGAATGTTCACACAAAGTTATCAGCACTATGAAACTGCAATACTTAACTAAAAGGAAATATTCGGCTGTAAAACTGCCATTGTAGTACAGACAGAATCAAACTCACAGCTCTCAGGACATTTAATCAAACTGAGACAGATAATTCCAATTATTTTCATATTCGAAAACTGCTGAGGCAAATCTAGACACATTTATAAGGAGGCTTAATAGTGGCTTTTGCAAGTCGGTACCTTCACTAGCAGCAGGTTCTGTCTGTAATAGATTAAAGGGATGCTATATTTCCAGGAAAACGCTATAGGCCCCTCCCCGCCTCAAAGTCCCTTCAGTCACTTAACTGAATCCAGGGCCGATGTTCCTCGGCGCTCAGTCAGGCTCTGGCCACGCTCCTCCATGGCAGACATCAACCAGCGGGGGAGACCTAATGCACATGGACAGCAATGGCTGCAATCGCATTTGGATTTCCCCATAGGAAAGCATTATCAAGGCTTTCCTACAGGGAAAAAAAAAATCTAATGTTGGAGGTCATCATGCAGAGAGTGAGGACGTCCAGCATCAGACAATGGACCGATGGTCCGTTTCAATCCAGGAATCCCTCTAGTTTCTAAGAAACTGCAATAATTACCACTGTAGGGTTAAGAGACACGGACAGTGGACCCAGAAAACTTAAATGAGCTGAAGTGGTCTGGGTGCCTACAGTGTCCCTATAAACCACTAGCCATTCTACCCCAAACAAATCACAAAATTCTTCACCAGCAATTATTCTGGCAACGCATTATGAGCAATGTAATAGAAAAACAGCTATTTTAGCTGAAATAGACTAGTCTTCTGTGAGCTTATTATACAGAGCATGTAAACTGTAACGTTTTAAGAATCCTGAATTAAATCCCTGCTGCATTTATCTTAAGAAAAAAAAAATAGGGGAATAGAGACAAAGACTGTGATATGGACGGAGAATTATAGAAATCTGCTATATTGATTCAGAGAATACTGAATCTGGAATCACTTATACAACTAATATTAGAATGATAAAATTATAAAAACATTCAGGAATCCCAGGGAAAGGTCATTTTTATTAAAGGACCAATAATTTAATTTTTTTAAAGCACAAATGCGCAATGGCATTGACGCTTTTGCGGCTGAAGTGCAATGAATATATGGTTCCATTAATGTACGGCCAAGAAGAAAGGCATTCCCCAATTTCACACTGCTAGTAGACACATGGGATGTAGCAAGGTCATTTGACACGTGTCAATTGACAGCTCAGGTCATTAGACAATAATATGCTTGCCAACCAGCAGTGTGCCTAAATAAGAACATGATTCACACAGACTTAAGCAGGCATATGATTGAAGTCCTAACCCCCCCCCCCAAAAAAAAAAAACAGGTAAAAGTAATCACAAATAGGATGTGAGGCCACAATTGGAAATTTAATTTTATGTCCCTACAGATAGCAATTAATATGGAGTATTTATTGAAAGAGAATCTCAGAATGCAATCAGCATTACAAATGTTACAGAGAACAGTAAAACTATGAATATGGATCTATCTTTGTGTTGAGATGGATAATAACTTGCATATTTAAAATATTAGAGGGTCACATTTCCTCCTCACCCATACTCCTGAAAAGGTTGCTTTGTTATTTCTAAAACTGCATCCTAGGCCCCATTTTATATATTTAAAGCCAATATGAATATTGTGATGTTTGATTAAAAGAGATATGGTTTTTCCTTTAAATCAGGGAGAGTTGTGCAGAGTTTGTTCACTTATTACAGCTGCACTGGATTATAAAGCGGTCTACCAATAGTGTATATGTTTGGGGGAATGACTCCTTAATAGAAATAAACAAATACTTTCATTCTGCAAACCCATTCACTGTAGCCTAGCTTAATGGGATTTGCAGTTCTCCACTTTCTGAATGACAGTGTGGGCTTAAATAGATTTTGTCTAATACAAATCATGTCACACAGACACATTTGATGGTGAGAATTGTAATTTAGAAGAACCGCTGCACAAGTTTATAAACATTCTTCTAAAACATCATAGTACAATAGGTTATATATAAACACACACAAAAAAAAAACACCACGCACCATAAAACAATATTTTAGGTTTATACAAAATAAAATGTAAAAGTCATAAAAAAAAAGAAATTTAAAAAAAAAGTCTTTGGCCTGATTACAACAAAAAATACTAACCATTCAAAAGGATAAGGCATTATATTTAGAACATATTAGCAGTCAATTCCATTAAAGGTTTTCCTGAAGAAATACTCTCCCCTTGATCATCTATGGGTAATCTGCATGTAGTTCATTTAGCTACATTTAATAGAAAAGTGTGGCCTGTACAGACATCTTTATACATTGCAGACAATGAAAAATTGCTTGGTTGAAGACAAAGCAATATATAGTATGACTTTATGTGATATGAGATTAAAACTTTGCCAAAAAACAAATACTCAAATAATTAATCAGGGAACAATTCCTGTCGATGTGCATGCATATTTATGTTTTGGACTTCTGTTGACTTGTATGCATAGTTTGTGTTGTGGAATTTGTTGTTGAGCACGCAATGTGCTCGACCAAACTTTCTACAGATCCAGGTAATGGGTAAATTTTACAAGGAAACTATAGTGCTAGGAAAATAAAGTTGTTTTTCTAGCACTATAGCTCCTTATATTACCTCCGTCTCGCGGCCAGACTCTAGCACCGATGTCCCTTGGCAACGGTTCAGGTGCTGCCTTCACTTCTCCGTCAGCCGGCAGGAGGGACCTAAAGCACATGCATTAAGAATCCCCACAGAAAAGCCTTGTATAATGCATTCCTATAGGGTTTTGGGTGACGCTGGATGTCTTCATGCAGAGTGTGAGGACGTCTACCGTCAGTTAGGCAACTAGAGTCCCTCTTGTGGCTGTTCACTAAGGGTGTAGTTAACCCTGGAATGTAATTATTGCAGTTTATTAAAAACTGCAGTAATTACAATTGTAGGGCTAAGGGGCCTGGGACACTGTACCGAGACCACTTCAATAAACTGAAGTGGTCTGGATGCCTATAGTGTACCTTTTAACTCGTTAACACGCGGTTTAGCATTGGCTTTCTTCAAGGCAGGAGGCTATAACGCACCAGTGATATGTGAGAGTTTTAGTAACTAGTAGTGATGGTGGGTAATTAGATGTAGGCAAGTGGTAGGAGTGGAAAAGGATTTGGTAGGTTGCAATGAGTAAATAGTGATAAACAATATGATCCCAGGCACCAGTTTACAACAGTTATTCATTGTACCAAGAAAGGTTGGTGAAAAGGTCCATTGGATCTACATACATTTCTTAATCCTGTTTTTTTCCGGTCATTGATACAAAATATGTTTACATGCTGAACATGCCATCATATTTCAGTATTCATTTCTATAAATGAAAACAATTAATATAGAAAAATAAAAATCAGCCTTAACAAAACACAAGAAAAATAATGCTCCATGATCCAGTCCGTGCCAAATTCTAAGGCTTGATAGTTTTTCCATTATCAACAATTAATCTAATATAGAAAGAAAGAAAATAAAGACTGGAAGGAAATGTTGGTATCACAAAAAATAAAAATGTAAAAATCGTTTTTGGCATTTTTTTTTTTTTTTAACTGCTTCACAGCTGGTGAGTTCCACAGTAAGACAAGATGGCAGCAGAAGAGTTTCGATTTTCACCAGAATTACTCTCCCGCACACACTGATGTTCCTGAGTAAGAAAATTGGACGGAGTGATCAATTAGATGCCGAGCTGAACCTTCATCTTTTCATACACCACGTAGCTGATACTGACAGCAGGAAGCACTTTCAAGAAATTGGGGGCAATACCCCTGTAGAGTCCAAAAAAACCCTCCTTGGCCACAATATTACGGAAAAGACCTCCCATGCTGAGTTGAGGGGCTCCCTCAATGGATGCTGCAATAGCAATAAATAAATAAAAAATAATTCACTTTAGTTATCACTAGATAATTCAAATGGTTCCTGCTTTTAAGAAGCCTATTATCCCAACAAAGACACTATTATGCCAAACGTAATTACGTTATTTAACCCCTTTAGGACGAAGGGAATTGTCCATGTTCTGAACCAAAACATTGAATTTGAGCAACAGGTTCCAACATAATTTACGTGTTTCCCCTCAAGTGCCTCCATACATATAGTGTATTTATTTTAAAGGACAGGAAAGGCTACCTAAACATCCTATATGTATACCCAACACAACATTACTTGTTAATAAAATGTTAAATGGGGGAGGGGGAATAATTGTTTTTCACATTTTTGCTAATCATTTTTTACACATCCAGTGAAACTAACACACACACTGACCCATACCGACACACACACACACATACAAACACAAACTGCCCCTTGCAGACGGACACATACAGGCATACAGGGAAACAAACTGACCAATGCAGACACAGAATGGTCCACACAGACACACACTGACCCCAGACAGACAGACACACACACACACACACACACATTATCCCTCTTACCTTAAATTCACATATCAGTGCTGTTCCAGGCATCGTCAGTGCGCCTAGTTGCCTGGCGGTGCATCATTCTCCCCATCAGCCCCACTGCTATGCTCACGCCCATTTCTCCTCACTTACAGGGCATGGGGAAGGAGCAAGCTAATAATGTGCCCTTGCGCTGCCGCTGCAATGCATGTCTGGGAGGGGGCCAGGCATTGTGAGCTGAGGTGAATCATGGATGTTGCCGACCTGACCAGTTTTCTACTGGCCGCTAGTCAGCAGCCATGTAAGTGCTCCCTAGCACCCGGTAACATGGCCGGCGGCCACTATAAATAATTAATACAGCTTGATTGGGGGGCAGCCAAATGATCACTCAAGCAACTACCGGCACCCCCCCCCCCCTTAAGCGGCGCTTTAGGCAGCCGCCTAATTAATTAGTCTTACTGAAGCACCGGCCCTGCCTATACAAGCCCTTCCCCAATGCTTACACTAACTCTACCTTGCACTCCCTGGTGTGAGCAGGGATTTAAAACTGTTCATTAAATCTGCAGGATCTAATGGCATTAAAGCCCATTAGAGTTGGGATGTATTGACATGTCATAACATCGTTAAAGGGACACTCCAGGCACCCAGACCACTTCTGCCCATTGGAGTGGTCTGGGTGCCAACTCCCATTACCCTTAACCCTGCAACTGTAATTATTGCAGTTTTCATAAACTGCAATATTAACATTGCAAGGTTAACTCCTCCTCTAGTGGCTGTCTACTAGACAGCCACTAGAGGGCACTTCCTGGTCTATAGCACAGGTTTTCTGTTCTATAGCGTCGCTGGACGTCCTCACGCTATGTGAGGACCTCCAGCGTCTCTAAAATCCCCACAGGAAAGCATTGAAAGCATTTTCAATGCCTTCCTATGGGGAGGTCTAATGCGCATGCGCGGCATTGCTGCGCATGCGCAATCAGTGTCCCCCGCCGGCTGACGTCGGCAGGGGAGGATCGTGGGCGGACCCTAAACCAGCGCAGAGGGACATCGGCGGGGTCTCAGGTAAGTCACTGAAGGGGTTTTCACCCCTTCAGCAACATGGGATAGGGGTGGGAGGGAGAGGGGACCTGCAATGCCAGGAAAACTGATTGTTTTCCAGGCACTGGAGTGTCCCTTTAAGGGACTTCAGGCTGAATCTGTATTGTAAATATTGTGTTTATATAGCCGAGAGCTATATAACCAACTACTGGAAAAAATGTTACATATTAAACTACAGCTCATCTTTCTAAGAGAGAAACTACAGTTCTATAACTTTCATTCTGTAGAGGATGCCAGACATTTCGTAACAGATAACTTGTTAAAATTGTCATAATATAAGGGCTTAACCAGCAGGCCATGGAGTTTAGCTTATGTGATACTGCAGACTAAACAAGAGTGAGGAGACTTGTCAAATGAAAATGGCTGGTTGTGTACAGTTAGAGAGGTGAAGACATCTAAACACAAGTTTTTTTTATTTTGTATTTATTTTTTTTAAGTTAAGAACTCAAAAAATCTACAGTTGAAAAGCCAGTATTTTTCCCCACTATGCTGTTGCATTTAAAAAAAAAAAATAATAATTAAACTCCCAGTGTAAATACAACCAAACAGAGAGGGCATTCAATGTGATTTTTATTTTTTTACCTTGTGCTTGCATTCGTGTCCTGATGAGGGCCAGAGGGTAGCTGGCAAGCTGACCACACGTGCTGGACGCAGTGCCACAGCCCAGCAGGACCAATACCCCAGGGTTCGCAGAATCTGTTGCATACGTTTGAAGCCAATAGTTCTTAAGAGTCTGCCAGGAGATAGGAAGAATGTGCCAGGTATCAATTGTATTAATTTAATTCACAAGGAGTCAGTGATCCTACCGCTGACACCAAGTCTTAGAATTCATGAGGGGACCTTTAATCTTTTCATTAACAAAGAGTACGAGCTGGTATAGCATTAAAAACAACTGAGGACAGCTTATATATTTTCAAATATAAAAAGGTAAGATTTAAAGTGGGTAAGAATTCAATCTGTATTTACAGTGTAGGGCAGTACACATTAAAATAATAAACAAATGACACTTAATTTGCATTTGGAAATAAATTGTTATAGACCTAATACAAATAAACCTACTCAATAAGAGCTGATATTACAAATTGTAACTGCATATTCTCTTCAAGGTCATCTAACAAAGTTATCAATTGAATGACAAGATATATTTAAGATATTTGAGCAAAACACAAAAACAAGTGTATAATATAACTTCCTACTGAAAATTGAGATTGCGAACATAATTGAAAGGAAATGTAAGGTCTCATTTGATTATATATACACACACACACACACACACACGGCTTCCTTTTCCAGGTTAGTATGAAATCAGATATTTTGCTAGTCCTAAAATATACAGAATACATCACATAAAAAAAAAAGTTACCTCGTATATAGCAAGGTCTATGCCAGCATAAGGTATGATACCCAAAATGTTAGGTATGTATCCCTTATAGAAAGCCCGCACACCTTCCTTCTTCAGGATCTTCTTGGCACAGTCAAACATGCCATCGTATTGCCCTGTTTTTCCAACAGCTAAACGGGTCTTCATTACCTTGAAAAAATAAAAATTACATTTTAGATCTTATACTTGGAACAATAGTGTATTAAAGTGTGTTTCCCATTAACAGTGCTTTGCAAATCCTACTCTCACTGCTCCATAAAACTCTTGTCTAAAGTGGTTTTCGTAAATGCCTTTCAATAAAAGATCCTTGTATTCTAAAAAGTGATTTAGTGTCCTTTTTACCTCAGATTCCTTTAACTTGGAAGGTATTGGTAACTCTCCAATGAAATATATCTTCTGACCTTAGGTAACATGGTGTTGGGGCTCATATTTCAAATTGGTGCAACACAATAAAGGCATGTTATGTAGTCGGATATATCCAGTCTGCCATGGTCTCCATACATAGTGTTACTGTGTCTGCTATCCTTTCCATACACTAATGCTTCCATATCTGGATAGGTGTAGTCCAATTAAAATGGTTTTATTCCCACGATTTATCAATATTGTTTAACACACGAGGCTGTGTTGCTTACATTTTATTGCACAGGTTAAAACCAGAATTGCTGACAATTTGTTGTGCAGAGTCTAGTACAAATTGATCATGCACAACTACAAACCTCAAAGCACGCAATCTTATGGGTTATTTTAGCATTTAAAACAGTTCAGCGGCTCGATAACCCATCCTGCTAAAAGTAAACGTTATTTGACAAGAAGGATTTATGGGCTGCAGCAGGATTCTTATAACACAGAGGTGGGTCTCTCTCGAACAAGCTCAATGCAGGCGTTCGGTTGGTTAATCCCATTCAATGTGATCAAAAACAGCAGGATTAACCATAGCCTGTTTATTTTACTATTTCTCATTTACACCAAGTAAGATTGTCCTAGCATGTGAACTATTAGATTACCCAAAAAAGAAGGGGAAAAAAAAGCAGCTTCAATTTTTCCAGCCCAGGAATGGCGGCAGACTGTCTAGCATGGCCTACATATGGCATGAGATAGCAATTGAGCTTTAGTAGCACTGTCTAGCTACTCAGTTTGATTTAAAACTACATTATAACATGCTTCTCATTACTTGCATAGGTTTATGAAACCGCTCATGCCTTAAGCACATTTTCTGCACATAAGCTTTAGGTTAGATCTTGTTTAGCCATGAGTACCCGACCTTACCATGAAGCCTGTATTTAATACTCGTTTACTAGATTTAAAACATTGCGTAATTGTTCTCCATATGCTATGACCATGTATGTTTTTGAAGTGCTTTTTACAGCTATTGTGGCATTGCAAGCATAACTGTCATTTCCTGCACAACAAAATTAAAGAATTTTAAAAAATTTAAAAAAAAAAAAAAGGTTTTTACCATTTGACCCACAGAAAAAAAAAAATCATAATGACATTTCTAACAATGTTAAGGGTCATTCCATGCCTAGCCTATAAAACATTTCTCCAAACCACCAGTCCTATTCCTTGTACATTAATAGGGCGGTGAAAATGATAACATTCTATTGAATTTGCTGATCAGTGTGAGTTACCTCCATGGGGTAGATGGACGTCTGAGCTGTTGCTCCAGCAAGTGACCCTGCGACAAATCTCTCAGCAGCACCCAACTTGCCGCTTTCTGAGGTAAACAGCTTCTTGTACTGGAAAGGAACCCAGAGGTCAATATACATCCATAAATGCATGTAGATCCATTATACATAACACAAACACATTGCTTCAGAATTGTATATGGGGATCCACTAAAACATTGCAGCATTTCCCTTTAGGCTGAAACATGGACTATCAACATCAGGCAAAGAGCTACACACAGGATTAATATAGTGTTGTAACAGAAAAACAATATAGAAATAATTGTAAAATAAGCCAAATATTGATTCTATAAAATCAGTTATAAATCTTTGGGGGGAAAAAACGGTCAAAGTAGTTCTAATATTACAGGAATAAGAAAAGGGATAGTACAACAGGTGCAAAGGCAGCAACGTCACAAAGGACGGTCAGTGAGGGAACTAATATAAATACCGCCGAGGTGCAAGAATTGTTATTTTTCAATTTTTTTGTGCAGGTATACCTCACGGATATTGTCAAAGTAGCAGGATATTAGTCAGTGACACAAAGAAGGGGAAAAGGGAAGGGGTGGAAAGGGGGGAGGACAAAAGTGCATGTATATTGTAACTAGTAAAGAAAACAAAAATCATAACATGCACACTGGTTGCAGATTTAACAGAAAGTATGAGGACCAAAGGCATGCCTCTTAGCAAATTTAAACGGTAAACGCCATGAGAGTTTCTAGAGAACTGGACATCTCATGAACATAAAACCAGCACTTCCTTGGACCTCCTGTGAAGGCACTTTGATAGGCCAAATGAGGTCAGCACCACCACCCAGAATTTGGAGAGGAGCGGACACTATTTCTCCAGAGACACAGCGACTAGCAGTGCTCAACTGCTCTCCCTCCTCTGGCGACTCTTCCACTGTCTCTCCGCTTTGTAAACTGGGAAGACGTTACCTGAACTAATTGTTTCCCAGTTGTGCAGATCTAACAGGGGCCCAGTTCTGAAGTTAAAGGGTTAGCAGTGGCTGACCAGCCCTAGCAGAAATGCCAAATGGACGTGTCCAAGTGCAAAGGACAACTCATGGGTGCCCAAAGCAGCCACACTGGCTGCACTGCTGGTAGTTCCGTGTTTCATGCACAATTAATGTCAAAAATAATCAAAGGACTAATCAGTAATAGGACTAATGAGGACTTGATCGCAATCTTTGACTTGGGTAGATGAGAATATAACCGCTAGTTAACTACTAGGCCAAGGGTGGAGAACCTTCGACCCGCCAGATGTTCTGCACTACATTTCCCATAATGCTGGCAAAACATCAAGGGAGATGTAGTCCACAACACCTGAAGGGCTGAAGGTTCCCCACCCTTGCACTAGGAAAATGTAAAACAAGAGGACGGATGACCTTTAAAATTTATCCCAAAAATCTTTCAGTGAAAATTTGAATTCTCGCAAAGATACAAATATATAGCAGCCTACAGACATCCAACTTACATGTTCATATGCATAGAACTTCATGGCGGTCTCTGGGGCAATCTTAATGACATTGACCCCATTTCCTCTCCACAAAGATCGGATACCTCCTTCCTTTACCATCTGCTTTAGTCCCGCCAGCATGTTAGAGTTTCCTTTGGTTCCGTGCACCTACCGAACAGAATATAGAACAATGGAAGTTTCAAGTATAAAAACATATAAACTGGCAAAGAACAAAGCGCTGTGAAGGATGTTAAGACAGATAAGTGTAGGGATTAGAAATCAACATATACAGGATTATTCACTAAACTTATGTACCCCTGAATTTACAGCATTTAGTGAAATATCCTGAATGTTTCCTGGAATTGCATTTTTTTTATTTACTAAATATAATCCAGGGGTTAATCTGGGGAAGTCTACCTAATGTGCTCACCCAGGTTAACAATTCTGTGTCTAAGAAATTGGGAGAGAACTCCACACAATGTATGGCATGTGGACATTTATCAAAACACTAGTAATTTACCAAATGGTCTTCAAACTGGCAAGGTTCAAGGCACACATTGAGATGTTCAGTGAATAGTTAGTTGAAACATACATAAAGCCAAATTAGGGTCCCCACTACGGCCTAGGAACCAGTGGACACCCAGTGATATGGTCCCTCCGCTTCCCTTACACCAAAGGTGTAATTCGACAACCTGCCTAATGGTCTTTTCCCTCCCAGCAGGCATTTATGAATCGTGAAAAGTAGCTCAACCATCTTTCAGGAATTAATTCCAGACTATCTAGTTATGCTTAAACACTGATGGGCCACACAACCAGTCAATTTGACCAAGTGTTCCATGTGTGCTTGTTTGTACTCTTGGCATATATAAGACTTGTGAGTGCCATTTGTCATTTATAGGATAAAAACATATGTTTACATTTTATTGGCAGTAGGCAGAACAACATTTGAATATCAGGCCAAAGACTGAAAGTCCGGATTTGGTACCTGCATCATGACTTTGAGACGGTCCAGAGGAGCAGTTCCTGTTCTGGATACTGCTCCAGCCATCCCTCCGGCCAACAACTGCCTCCACCACTGGCCAGTCTTCTTCTCTTCCTCTGTGAATTCATCTGGGATTGTGAGACTGTCTCCAATATCTAGTACCTGAGGAAATAAAATGATTTTAAAACCTAGTCCACCAGCACAACTAATATTACTTGAATTAATCTGAATTCGATTGCTCATGAAATTAACAATTGTTATCTTGTATTAAAGGTTTTGATTTTGGTCAGAATATAATGAATATTAAGTACTCCATTTGGAAGAGTCTATAATAAAAATGTGAAAAACAGCAGACACTATACTTACTTTTGTATGCATTAACAATGTCATTTTGTGTTTATGACACGACAGGTCAACAGATATAAAAAATAAACATAAGTTTAGTTTTGATCAGCAAAACATCCAAAAATGTCAGATCAATCAATGGCATGACTCAATGGAGCAATAACAGGGAAAGCCGTGTATTCTGTAACTAGATGAACCAAACTTCAAGAGGCCCAGAACCAATGAAGCTCCACTTCCACCATTTGGTCTATGGAGAAAAACCAAGAGCATCTGTCCCTCGCCAACCGAGTACGTTGACTTACAGACCCATCCACTGTCTGTAACAGAGAATAGCACAAGGCATATCTCCTGCTCCCTTGCTAGATCACCTCTGGGCTTATTACACAGTATCCTTCTAAGAATGTAGTTTTAAATAAAATAGCTGAGAATAATGCATGCAGCACTTCCCAATCCAGGAAAAATACCCCTTACCGGTCACAAAATGTTCAACGCTTTTATTCTAGATCCCATAGGTAACAACCCCCGATTTTCCTGCTTCCTAATACTTACAGTTGAGTGCTTCCAGTAGCGGATAATTTCTTCTATGTTATCTGCTGGATTAAATAAAAAGTGGTCTCTCCATTCATTCCAATCCACTGTCAGGGTTCCATCTGCATCCATACTGTAGAGCAAGAGTGACATGACAAAGTGAGGGTTGGTGCGAGAATTCTCGCTGTGCAACTCTGGATGGGCCCAGTGTCACAGAACATATAGAACTAAGACTATAGACTAAGCGTTGCTACTTTTTCTCATATAGAATAAAAACATTTCAAAATAAAGAAAAAATAAAGTCTAGGGAGTGAAACAAAATACTATAAAAAAGGTTGAATTAAAGGAACACCCCAGCAACATAACAAGTACAGCCCCCATTATGGAACCAGGAGTGGTTAGAAGTAGTCAAAGTAGTTTTGAATGGTTTGACTTCTTACCTGGGGTCCGACAAGCACCGCACCCCACCTCCGCAACTTCTCACAAAACAATTGAATGTCCTCGGTACAAATAATCATTCTCATATTGTATTTATTTTAACTGATATGTTATTTTATTCTGTGTCTGTGAGATATTATCTAATGATACAATTGGACAGCACTGTTAACACACCAACACACATTTTAAGATATTACCATGCTCAATATGATCTACATTCTAAAGTGCTGTGTTAGCAGCACACTGATGGTATAATCTGTGCTGAAACTAATCCCAATTTCTCTACAGAGACATGCACCCACTTCATTGTTCTTAATATATGGCGCTTTAGCTGCAAAAACAGGGTTGGATGTGCAGTTGTGATCATTGATGCATTACGGTTATTACTGTGCCTGCAGCAGAGTTTCATGCAGCTTTATATGAAGTAAAAATTTAGAAGATGTTCTATATGAATGCATAATAAATTCGCAATAAGCCGAAAGAAAATACAAATCACGTAGGTCACTATAATCACTGACCTCTGTAGAATTTTGCCAGCATGTTCTGCAGAAATTTTTATCCCCAGGGTTTTGAGCGAGTTCATTATCTCAGATGCTTCAATCTTTCCTGTAAATAAACAAACAATGTAAAAACCACATGAAAGGCTACATTGCAATAAATATAATGCATTCGACAGTAGATCGGAATTGGCAAATACCAAATGAGCACCACATTATTCACTTTATTTAGCAAATGGTGACAATATACACACTAGCAGAGTTTACTCACCATTACCATACACACATTCACTTTTTAGCACATCATTAAAAAAAAAAAAAAATTTATGTACGTACATCTCGTTATTGATATAACTGGTTTACTTATTGGCTCAAGTATCTAGTATTCTCAAGAGGACAGTACAAAAACCCCTAATATTTAAATTAATGAGGACATTGAGTTGAATTATAGTGGCTACTGTTTTTGGTTGTTCCATAAATATGACTCATGTTAAGACAGGTAAATATTGCATGTATTGAATCATTGAGTGTGGATTTAAAAGAATTTTTAAATGACAGTAGAATTTAGCAAGTAGTACAACCAACCAAAATAGTAGCCTCTATAATTAATTCTGTACAAGTCTAACACGGACCCCATAAATTGTCCTTTTTAGGATATTTTCTATCACTACACTTGTAATACCCCACCCACCTCTGCTGCTTCGGTATAGTCACAAAGAGCAACATATGAGGGTCTTTAAGATAGTAAGTATGTTATGCCTGTTTTACTTAAAGGGACACTCCACTGCCCAAATGCAAAAAATAAATGAAAAGTCACTTTATTAGATAGATGAAAGACAGGCATGCATTTAACTATCCATTTGTTTTTTTTATTGGAATTCTAACTAAACCCGCTTGCAAAAGCTGCATATCTCTTGTCTGAAACCTTTGCAAGCCCTCCTTTCTAATCCCGCCACAGGTGTCTTTTCAAAACAGGTGCCTCCCCCCTCGAGTTTAGCTTTCCTGAGCTAAACAACCAGGAAGTAACAGGACCAGTTGTCTGATTGAAAGCCAGGCAGGTGTAACCATGTTCTTTTAAAAAGGTGCAAATTTATATTTACCGTCTCTGCTTTGCACCAACTTTTTATTTGGCTTTTGTTTATAAATTGGATTAAATTGTGGTTTTCGGAGTACCAGCTTATTATAATTATATAAAACATACCTCCCCAAAATGTGAAAAATTAGCTGTACTATAGGAAAATGTAATGTAAATTGTGTTGGGAGAGACAGATGGGATTTGGCAAATGATGCGGCCCAGATCAATACCATGCCTGATCCATGTGAGATGCCATTACAGTTTTGTAACCAAGAAATGGATTATTAAATATGAAGAAGTTTTTCACAGTACTTTCTGTACTTCGTGCTAAATTAAAGCAGTCATCTGTTAAAGCAGTCATGCATTTTTTTTTTCCCATTTTGCTTTTCCTTTCTATAATGATTACACTCTACCCAGTGCCTGTATTTATATTTACTATATTTTCTACCTTGGGCCACATCTCAATATATAGACGCTTCCGTTTTGTTCTCCTCTGCCCATGAGGTTTGCTGTTTGGCCTTCTGAGGAACAGGTTTTACTGATGGATTGTGGGTAAATTGGCAACTAAATCAAAACTTTACTTTAAGCTTCACCTATTGTCATGTTAACAGCTTTACAGAAGGGGGGGAGGGGGAGATAGCTACTTTTCTTAATGTATTCTTTGACAACTAGAGCGTGCAAGAAAATTAAATAGGTAAATAAAATAAATTCTTATAAAAGGATTCAGACACAGGGAGCTATATAGAAACAGATTAGATAAATTTTAACTTTTAGTGACAGAGCAGCTTTAATTTTTTTCATTGTTGTAGGTGTAGAAGTAATAAGAACAATAAAACCATTTGGGTCGTACTTGAGAATTGCACTTATTTTTTGTTGTTTTTATGTACAATTTTAGGAAAACATTGAACAATGTCACTGGCTCCCCACAAGCACTACTCTTCATCCCATGCCTTCAAGAATTAGAAGCATCCATAAAGTAAAGGATAACGCACTCTCCTGGTCACCAAGGTGCAAATATGAAGAATAAGCAGTGGTCCAGGCACTCAAGTACAAAGGTCCTGTTGGACCGTAACGTTGCGGTTTCTTGCTCCAATAAAACTGCCAATTTGGTTTTCACCTTGAGTGCCTGGATCATTGCTTATACTTCAAGAAAACACGCTTTTTTCCCCCATCCACGGCTCATAAAGCACTTTACTCTCTTGAAGGCCTTTTGGGAGATCTAAACTTTGCCAACGGCACAAAAACATTGCAGGAAGTGAAAGAAATACTTTGTTCACACACATTCACTATGCAAGAAAATGACATCCATAACAGTAGTCAACATTATCCAAGGTAAGCAAGATATGACCCATTATAGGCAGTGAATAATAGCCATTAGATTGGTTACACTGATACAATGCAGTTCATATAAATTCTGCAGTCTGTGGAATATTGATTTTGGCTGGTGCCTCATTGGTGGCAAGGATCTCGGTACAGCCTGGAGTGGAGGGGAGGGCTGGCAACCTTAGGCCTAGGGTGCAAATCCAGTCAAGTGGCCCATTGCAAAAGGAGAGTAAAAACACCTTTCCCATGTGATTGAAAGGGGGGCAGTCACCTAAACAGACACACTGACAGGCACACACACTTGCTGATTTGGCACACACTAACAAACACACACTCACGGACAGACACACACACATACTGAACATACTGGCACACACACACACACACACAGACATACTCACACACACAGACATACTGACACACACACAGACACACTCATACATACATATACACCCAGACTTTACACCTTTAACCAGTTAAGGACACGTGACATGTGACATGTCATGATTCCCTTTTACTCCAGAAGTTTGGTCCTTAAAGGGTTAAAGCCAGTAGATGGGGGCTGAGTAAAGTGACAGGGCTGTAGTAGGGGAACAGGGGCTGTAGTGGAAGGTATGAGCTGTAATTGGGGGTTAGGAAATGTGGGGGGGAATAGGGGCTGAAGTAGGTTGATGGCTACTTAGGAAAGGGGCTGTGGTGTGGGTTATATGTTGTAATTGGGGGAGAAGAGCTGTAGTTGGGATGTTATGGGGCTGAGTGGAGGAGCGACATGGGCTGAGGAAGGGGGACAGGGGCTAAGGAAGGGGGGACAGGGCTGCGCAATAATACAAAGTACAGGTGTGACGTCACTTGGTGAAATTAATGTTAAATGAAACACCAGCCACAAACTCCACTAGACACCATGGAAGAGGAGTTTGTTTCGAATTCATAAAATGTTGACCAATCACCTATGGATTAGTGGCCCAACTTAAAGGGATAATGCAGGCTGGAATTTACATTTTTTCTAATGCATTCTATAGATATTGGATTAAAAATAAGCAAAACAACAAAATTATATATTGTTTATGTGCTCTTAAAATGTCTGAATCTCTAGTTCGAATCACAAGTGAAAAAAATAAAGAAAAAAAAATAAAAATAAATAAAAACGGTCCTCTTTCTATTCAATAATGCCTACACTCATCTGATATACATATGGGAGATAAAGCTATGGCATATATAGTTGAGCAGTTGGCAGCAAACGTCTCTTCACGGATGTATATGTGCATTTGCATCTGAAATGTAACATTTTCACAGAAATCTTATAGATTTAAAATATTAGTCATGCAGTATTTTTCGTGGCTGGTTTTCTGTAATTATATAGACTATTCTAGAATTGCATGGTCTGTAAATATGATGGGAAGTAAACAGTTATGAGAATGGCCATAGCTCAGACACATCTCATGGTTCTCATACCATCTTTGTTTTTGTCGAGGCTTGTAAAAGCGATTTTCATTTTTTTCTCATGTTCTTCCAAATATTTGATAAACTCCCCAAAATCCAGTTGTCCATCCTTGTTGGTATCTCCTGCAGCCACTATTTTCTGAAACGTGAAAGAAAAAACGTTTTATAGAGGTCATCACGTTCCTACAGATTTCTCCCCATAAAATTTTTTTTTTATTTTTTTTTAAAGGTAACTTTAATCCTAAATTAAAATAGTGATCGATGAAAGCTAGCAGAATATTAGATTAGCTTTCTTATTTATTGTAATATGATTACTTTCCATTTAGAAGGCCTGTGTTACAATAAATAAATTAAAAGGCCACTTTGCTTGTTGATTGTATATGTGCGCTAGAGACTAATGGAGAATGTGTCGATTTACTGTAACATCAGTAGCGGCAATCAACATGGAAAAACTGGATTGATGTTTTTGTTTTTTGTTTTTAAATATTCCATATTGGGGAAAAAAAAAGTATTAAAAAACAAACAAAACAAAACAAAACTGGTTCTGAAAAACCACTAACAACTTCATTATCATATGTTAGTATTTCATTGCAATTTATAGCAAGAAATTAGTCAGTCATTCGTCTACATGAAAAGACAAGAAAGACTGACAGGTTTATAGGAAGCTGTATTGCGTAACTATTGACAATGGTGGCTAGGATCCACATTAGGAATGGAATGCCCAGATCCACGGAGACAACACTGGGATTACATATTTGGGTTGTGAAAACGTCATTGGAAAATGTGAAAAACCCATGTGGAACACAGGACCAATGGAAGAGTGAGACTGGACAGACTATTGTCAAGATTTCTGGTGCACTATCACCCGAAGGGCACTTCACACTTTTATGCTTTGCCCCCACCCCTCCCTTGAGGTAACCTTCACAAGGAAACATGTAGGGTGTGGTCATCCAGTAGAAGGATGGAACATCTCACTGCTCGACCCCTATATGTGGTGTGCACATTTTATGATTTCTAAAGGAGTGAATAATGTGGTACTTATTTTCATCTATCATAGACCTCTATTGTATTTACGTTCTCTAGCCTATAGTGCCAAGCTTGTAAAGAAAATTATTTTGTATACCAGTGTGAGATCTTGTCAAATGTACTTGTAAAAAAAAAAAAAATAAATTATAAAAAGGAAGTTTCAGAGAGTATATTTGCACATTTGCTTCTTTATTTTTGCTTTTTGCAGACATTTTACGATGCAACAATAGTCATGAGCCGTAAACATGTAGATCATATTCAGTTGTACATAAGAAAAACAGGGTTTGATATAGCTTCATGCACCACGGTTATGTACAAAGGTCATATATGTACTGCCAAAGATCTTCTGTCCAATAAGAATAACTGAGAAAAATAAGAACAGTGGCAAATTAATGTCTGTATGTCTGTCACCCATTGTATGGCATTCCTATTTTACCAATCTAATCTAGCGCCCAGTGTGGGGTGTCGAGTCCCTTCTTCAGATAAAGATAATGTTTGATAAGAGTGTGTGGTCCTCTCCATCGAGGTATTGGGTGCAGTCAACTGCTCCAGCAGCCTTTTAAGGGTTTCACATTATATACACTTTTTAATTTGCATATGTCGCTACAATTCCCTTGGTTGCATCGTGCTGTTATATAAAAGGGATGAACAGAACATCTCAGGGAATTAAGGACTTACAAGGAGGGATTATTCCTTCACTTGGTGTGCTTATAATATGTTATTTGCGCCTTAAACTACTAAATTGTGATTTGCACTTTAATAAAATGAAACTAAACGTTTTAATTATATTGAGCATTTTACATAATTGGAGCACGTTTATTCCTGTAGGCTTATAACAGTTGTGGTTTTTTAAATACACTCCTTCGCTTTGGGACAGGTTTCTTCTTTCTTCTAGAATTTTGATTGCCGTGATAGCAAACAAAAATTTATATTTGTTTAATAATAAAAGTTATCACGATGGAACGATGATGGTTTACTTGACAAACAAACTTGTATTTGAGGAGTTAAAAGGTAATGGTGGAGATAATCTGCAAATGAATATTATGAAAAATATAAACACACACAGTTAGGAGACGCTAAACATTAGTTCCACATACACAAAATTGTGGGCTTACAAAGAATAATATTTATGACTAACATCAATACATGTAAGCACTTTATATGTAAACAGGTTCTTGATCCAAGGAGAAATCCATTGTCATAATGGAGTTCTCATAGGAAAGCATTGGATCAATGCTTTCCTATGAGGAGAACAGAAAATGTGCAGGCAAAGTGTGAGGAGGTCCAATGCCATTTAATGGAGTAAAACTCTGTTCGGGACCCTGAAGTCGAGTGGAAGAAAACCATTAGAGATGGAGTTAAAGGGACACTGTTGGCACCCAGACCACTTCATTTCATTTCATTGCAGTTTTTCAGGGTTAAGGGATATGGGATATTGCACCCAGACCACTTCATTTCATTTCATTGAAGTGGTCTGGGTGCAATATCCCATATCCCTTAACCCTGAAAAACTGCAATAATTACCACTGCAGAGTTAACTCCACCTCTACCAGACAGCCACTAGAGGGCTTCCTGGTTTGAAATGGACCTTTAGTCTGGTATCTGATGCTGGACATTCTCATGCGCTACATGAGGACTTCCAGCGTCAGATTTTTCCCCATAAAAGAGCATTGATTACAGTATATACTCGAGTATAAGTCTAGTTTTTCAGCACATTTTTTGTGCTTAAAAACCCCCACTCGACTTATACTCGAGTCACTGTCTGTATTATGGCAACTTAGAGAGCCGCGGCCGTCAGAGCCATGGCAACGATCCGCGCGGCAACCAGACCGCAAGACTTACAGTGGAGCTGACCAGAACGGAGGAGAAGGGAGCTGACAGGAGCTGCAGGAAAGGTAAGTAAATGCTTCCTGCTGGCCCCCCCACTTCACAGCCCATGCCACTTGACCACCAGGGATTAAGATAGCCCCCCTCCCTGACCAGTTAACAAGCAGGGAGGGGGGACAAAAAAAAAAATAAATATTAAAATAAAAAAATAATAATAATATTAAAATAAAAAAAAATATAATAAAAATGCCCTCCCCCCACCCAGTTCTCACACACTACACAAACACACACTCTGCATTATATACACACACTCTGCATTATATACACAGAGTGTGTGTATATAATGCAGAGTGTGTGTTTGTATGAGTGTGTGTGTATATAATGCAGAGTGTGTGTTTGTATGAGTGTGTGTATATAATGCAGATTGTTTGTATGAGTGTGTGTATATATAATGCAGAGTGTTTGTTTGTATGAGTGTGTGTGTATATAATTATAAAAATCACAGAATTTCATAGCCCCAAGATTTACCCTCGACTTATCCACGAGGCATAGCATATTTCACAATTGTTGGTCACAAAACTGCACTGGACTTATACATGAGATCGACTTATACACGAGTATATACGGTAATCTTTCCTACAGGTGAAATCCTAATGTAAGCATGGCCATTGCCATGCAGGCGCATTAGGTCTCCCCCGCCGGCTGACGTGGGAGGAGCCTGATCCAGCGCCGAATTCAGGTAAGTGACTGAATAAGTTTAACCCATTTCAGTGCCATGGGAGGAGGGCACTGTAGGATTCTATAGTGCCAGGAAAACGGCTTTGTTTTAACATCAAAAGTACTATTAGCATGGGAGCTGGGCTTTCAATTTTCTGGATATTGGAGAGAACTTGCTCCATGTATCTCATAATCCCTGGAGATCTGTCAGTGCTGGTCTCCACAGTATACAGCCTCATCGCCAACAAATGTAGTTTTCCCATCATGAGAAAGTAGAACGGAATCTCTGATAAACTGACCAATGAATACAGTAAGCATTTTAGTTACTGCTGCAGTTAAAATGTATATGTTAACTTTCTAGAAGGGAGTGCCAATGGATTAGCAATGTATGTACTTTATAACAAAAACAAAATATATCATGTAAATTTAATGGGACAATACTAAACTGCTATTCACACTCACGCCCAGTTCATTAATAGAATCTGCTGATTCACTCATGGTATGTGTTATCAGTGTGCAATAAACTAAGCAAACTGACTATAATCCGATATCACACTGAAACAAATACAGTCCTGCATGGTTATTATAATAGATTCATTACATTGAATGTTTTCTCGCTTACTGTAGTCATTTTGATATATAAAAAGAATTTTACTTTGCATTTTGTTTAATTTTTTAAATCATTTTTACAGTTAGAAAGGAAAGGTTCAAATATAAACACCACAAGGAATAGAAAAGGGAGTTAAAATTTATTTGCATGAGTCATAAGACAACAGTACAATGAGCCACACCAGATAACCTTTGGTACAAACATTTATAACTTCAGATAAGGTATCTTCAATAATTGCCTTCCAACCATCCAAGATCTGATTCCTAAACCCTTATACCATCACCATTTAATGCTCCCACATTCAATTCATAAGCCAAGAAAAACTACTGGACACACGGACACACACACAAAACCAACCTCCTCCCACCCCCCCCCAAAAAAACCACAACAACCCAGAAACACTTACTCAGTTTTATGAATTGAAAGACCAGTTTAATGATTCCTAATTAAAGCCTTGGGCCAACAAAATGTGGGTAAAGTGATCAGGCACATGTTTAAGGTTAAACCATTTGAAGTGGTGTAACCCCTTAAGGTATGACAACTCTTGCGAAATTCTGAATTCAAAGCTCTTTTAGTACAATCTTAGTTTTGCTCAGAGCATGGGTTTCAGGGACCAGAACCTTCTCTTTTTTGAGTGCTTGAAGAGTACCTTTAAAAGGAATGCTGTTTGCATTAAAACAACCAACATATTTGCACTACATAAGTTGGCCCTTTGTGCATGATCAAGGTGTATAGTGAAAAAGTGCTAATTTCTGTTTAGCTAACTCATAAGACTAACAGCTTTGTATATTGCAAGGAAATCCATGTCACATGCGTAGTTTTGCACATGGCCATTTCTTGTTTCCCCTCTTCTAAGAAGACACTACCCCCACACCTTTCTTAAAAAACAAAAAACAAAACAGCGGTTATAGACAAACCTTCTAGGATAAATTAATTTCTGAAGCAACAAAGGCACTGGCAATATAAGGTTCCAATGATACTTTAAAATAAAAATCACAATTCCATCTGCAGAGATGTAAAAAAAAAAACACAAACAAAAAAACAACACTATTCATCCAACTTGACCCCTTACTTTTAATTGTTTGTCTACCCATTATATTGCATTAAGAATATTGTATTATGGTCTTAGTGCCTTGACACTCGTGCCAGTTTTACTTGTAGGGCAGATGTTATTGATTTTCTTTTAATGGAAAACATACATTTTCAGGATTACTAATATTGCATTTGCCTAGCCCCTACATAGAATGTGTTTTTAAAGCCTCGGGGAGGGGAGAAGGAAAATAAAATTACACCTGTATTGAAAAAAAAAAGTCTGAAACCAAGTGCCGCCCTCCATGTTGGTGTCCTGTCAGTTTAGTACAGAGAGACTGGTATTTGGGATTCTGACAAATACAGCATATCTAGCGCAATATAAAGTGTACAGCTTGTCCTATTCCAACACAATCTGTAGAGAAAGCATTTTCCTGTGATCACTAAAATGTACTGATGTATGACCTGCTACTACCAATGCATCTGATGTGTCTAATTGTCTGTCAGTGTGGTATATTGAAGTAAAAAAAAAAAAAAAAAAATATATATATATATATATATATATATATATATATATATATATATATATATATATATATAGTAATAATTGTAACACTTTTGTATTTTTACTTTTGCATTTGTTAAGGTGTTGCATTTTGTTAAAAAAATTTTTTTTAAATAAAAACAAAGAAATGCACAGAGCTCAAATACAAAACAACAAGTAAGTTCCAGGACCAATTGTTCAAGGCAATGCACTCACACAGTGCCAGTTTACATCCAGGAATAACCACACAAATCCCACCACTCCATCCCATTCAATGGATAGAATAGAACAATGCAGTGACAAAATTGAGAGATCAGTTAAAAAATTATTTTAAAAAATAAAGAGGAGGATACATGGGTTATCACTCTAGAGTTGTGTAGATAATACATGTAATAAATTTTATTTACAGCCATCCATTAATTGGAGTTCTACTATTGCACAAAGGCATGTTTCATGATACTATTTACGTAAAGCATGTCTTAGCACTCTAAACCTGTGCTTACAAAGTCAGATTTATTATACATTGTGAATTATGTGGGAGCAGGCAAGACTACCATACTGTGAATCAAGGTGTATTTTGAAGAACAACTTATTCCTTGTTCTAGTATTAAAAAAAATTGCCTTAGGGACTGCCTCCTCGCCTTTCCCTCACTTAAGCAGCATACATTGCTTTTTATTTGATTATGCTTCCATGATATATATCTCTCTGAAAGTGGAAATCCTCAAGGGTACGTGGCAGAACTAGTTAAAGGACCACTATAGTGCCAGGAAAACATACTCGTTTTCCTGGCACTATAGTGCCCTGAGGGTGCCCCCACCCTCAGGGTCCCCCTCCCGCCCGGCTCTGGAAAGGGGAAAGGGGTTAAAACTTACCTTTTTCCAGCGCTGGGCGGAGAGCTCTCTGCCTCCTCTCCTCCTCCGTTACGCCCCGCCATTTCAGATCGCGCCGCGGCGCAGCGGCTAGCGCGGCATTCAGCGGTCTCGAAAATTTACAATGCTTTCCTATGACGCTGGCGATGCTCTCACTGTGAAAATCACGGTAAACGCAGCGCCTCTCGAGTAGCTGTCAATGGGAGACAGCCCACTAGAAGGTAGAAGGAAGGCTTAACCCATTCATAATTATAGCAGTTTCTCTGAAACTGCTATAATTATGGGTTAACCCTAGAAGGACCTGGCACCCAGACCACTTCATTAAGCTGAAGTGGTCTGGGTTCTAGAAATCCTTTAAGAGACACTACAGTCACCTAAATTACTTTAGCTAAATAAAGCAGTTTTAGTGTATAGATCATTCCCCTGCAATTTCACTGCTCAATTCACTGTCATTTAGAAGTTAAATCACTTTGTTTCTGTTTATGCAGCCCTAGCCACACCTCCCCTGGGTATGATTGACAGAGCTTGCATGAAAAAAAAAAAAAACTGGTTTCACTTTCAAACAGATGTAATTTACCTTAAATAATTGTATCTCAATCGATAAATTGAACTTTAATCACATACAGGAGGCTCTTGCAGGGTCTAGCAAGCTATTAACATAGCAGGGGATAAGAAAATCTTAATTAAAGAGAACTTGCAATTAAGAAAGCCTAAATAGGGCTCTCTTTACAGGAAGTGTTTATGGAAGGCTGTGCAAGTCACATGCAGGGAGGTGTGACTAGGGTTCATAAACAAAGGGATTTAACTCCTAAATGGCAGAGGATTGAGCAGTGAGGCTGCAGGGGCATGTTCTATACACCAAAACTGCTTCATTAAGCTAAAGTTGTTCAGATGACTATAGTGTCCCTTTAAATTCTCTCATAGAAACCAACCTCTGCAATAGTAGTGACCCATCCATTGGGGTATGTTCTAAAAGCACAGCAAGGTCATCAGGCACAAATGATAGAAGATGTATTCATGTATTGACAGCATTGACTTTCTCGATCATACCCTATGTATTAAAAATGGTATTACATTACTTTTCTTAATATTTCTGAGCAGCCTTGTATTTGCTTTTTATGTATTTTAGTTTGCCATTGTTTATAGATTATGTGTATCAATATTTGATGATAGATTTATATAATTAACAACCGCCCCCCGCCACAACCCAAATCTTTATGAAATGCTCAGAAAGACTAGTTATATTTTTTGAAATTCAAAAGTAGTCGATATATAGAAGACCAAGTAGGAACGGCGCCTATGGGAATAAACCATTTTTTGCTCATTGAGAGGCAAGATGTGCAACAGTACAGCATGAATGTGGACTCCTTTGTGAATGAAGCACCAGGAGTAGATGATCATGCACCTGAGGGGGGACAGCATCACCTGACCTTCACAGCACCCCCTGGTCTTTAAGTGGCAGTGTCACCATCAGGTCTTTGCAAAATATGCATAGAGTTACAAGGTGATAGAGCCATTTTATATCATCAGAAACCCTTAAAGAAACACAATCATGTATTCCTGACCCTATAGTATTAAAAACCACTATCTAGCCCCCTATAAATATAGTAAAATATTATATAGAGAGTGAAAACTAGTGTACGAAACAGGGAAACTGGGATGAATAGCACATTGTAATCAGAATTACTCCAGATAAAGAGGAATCTCAAATCTCTGATATAGAAACAAAAGGTCAAAAATAAAAAATGTTTTATTATAAGAATATTAACCCGTTAACGGCGTTCTATGCCGTCCCCATTTAAAAGGGCTTTAAAGCCGTTGCGGTGGCATAGAACGCCGTAACGGCTGCAGCCGCCAGAGTGCCCAGGATACTTACCTTCCCGGCGCTCCGGGAGGACTGCCTGACAGCCCAGGCAGCCCTCCCACAGCAAAAGAAGCCCCTGTGGGCCATGTGATCACTCCCTCTGGCTTTGATTCTGGCTTCGCCCTACTCCAGTCTCCCTCTCAAGGAAGAGACTTAACTTCGGATTCCTGCCCCTCTTCACTTACTTCAGGGAACCATAATTCATTCTACTCTGGAAAAGACATTCAACTCCCATCATTCATGAAAGGAAAGATAAGTTCTCCAGTGATTGCAATTATTAATTTGTTCTTACCTAAAGCTATCTGAGGAGGATCAGGAATATTAAAGTCTGCCCTCTGGGATTCTCCTTGCCATCTCTTTTGAATGCCATTTGCCAAATTACTCAAATGTTAATTGTTTTAGTCTAAAGACTACAACCACTTCGCATACCAGGACATATTTCGTTATCAAGTTGTTTTTTTTCAAGTTAAAAGAATGTTACTTTGTACAACAGGAATCACCTGCTCTGTCAACTTTATATTGAAGTTTAATGGACTTTACGGCTTGTTGCTAATTAAGCATTCCTTAATTTCATTTGCAACCATCTACCATTTTTCTTGTAATGTTATACTTAACCAAGATTCACATTCTTCATACAATATTATTTTAAAACATTATTGCTGCAGAAGTCTGCCAAGGTTAAAGTTCTTTATTTTAATAACATTTTCTTAAAATCCAATTAGATTTTTCACCTGCGGTTGAGTTTCAAATAAATTTTCTCACGAGAGTATTACACCATCTGACAAGTGGCCACTGGAGAAAGTATTTTCCGGTGATCACTAAAATGTACTGATGAACCCTGCACTGTAAATATTGCAACTCCTGCAGAATGGTAATGTGTTCACTTGCAGGGTTAAAGCAAAAGGGATATGGCACCATGACCACTTCATTGAGATCCTAGGCGGTTTCTCTGAAAAGAGATAGTATTTACAGCAGAAAGCCTTCAGGGATGGACTATACTCACCAGAAAAACGACATTCATCTGTAGTTGTTCTGGTGTCTATAGTGTCCCTTTAAGTCAGTATTGAAAAGGTAAAAAAAATGCAAACATTTGATCTATGAAAACATTGTTTGTACAAACAGTCTTTTCCAAGCATGTTAGCCAAGAAATATCTTGGCATCTTGCAGGACAGATTCTTCCAGATGCCTATTTAACAAATGTAAAAGGTTCCCTTAGCAGGAAAAACAGGTTTGAACCAAATGTTTTTTTTTTGCAAATAAAATTCCAGCACAACTGAAAGATACCATAAGACATCAGTGTAGCACTCTCGGACACATATGCGACAGTACAGCATGAACGTGGACTCCTTGCTAATGAAGCACCAGGAGTTAAAGATCATGTACCTGAGGGGGACAGCATCAGGTAAGTATTACTGACTCGGTCTTATCGACACAGAACAGATTTACAAAAGTAAAAAAAAAAAAAAAAATTAACTCTTTAGAGATAGCTGTGGAAAAGAATCTTCTCACGTGCACGGTCGGTTAGTCTATGGTGGATCTTTTAGGATCAGGTTCATCCATAGATTTGTTATATTCTTGTTTGTGCACCAGTAGAAAAGCGCAGAAGGCTCTATGGAAGATTAAATACCAGGTGCTGAACAAAAAAAAAAAAAAATGGCAGCAGGGAGAACTTTGCATAAGTATATACCTACCTTGAGATTCAGACCAAGCTGCGGCACACACAGCAGGGATATCACTTTCGAGGGTGTTTGAAAAATATGGAAGGACCCCTCGAAAGTGACAGAGCTGCTTTACGATAGCCATTGCTGTTTGGCTTGGCCTTTGTGAAATTTCTCAGGTACACAAAGGTTTTGAATGTTCATGAAACTGTGCATGCACTTTTATCATATCTACATTACTCCTGATTGATAGTGTAGGGGAAAGTTTTATAAACTGTGCAAAGTCTCTTTGTTAGTCACAAGGATAAAACTCACCGGTCACAATTAAACGATGGGGTAATAACTAACCAGAATTGTATCAGTTTTCTCTATCAATTCAGTGTATTGGCTAGTTTATCCCATAAGTACCAGAAAGGATGAGCAGATCAACTTAATTCCTTTGTAAGGATGGGAATATATTGCTGGGAGTAGGTAGATAAGGGTCAAATAGATTATGCAAGTTCAAATACACTTTAGCTTATTTAGTACTATTTAATTTGTCTCCCATGTTAAGATTAATATAGGACCCACCGATAATGGGGTACTGTGACAGAGTGGTGGGCTTAGCACAATATAGCCATATGGTAGACCTGAATTTCCACATTTGTTCGCAGAGATAGGCAATTTTAAGTAGGCTTATAAAATGTAAAACTGTATTTATTTTTATATATGTGGGCTTTTACGTAATCTGTATATTACATTATACAGGTGATACTCGAAAAATTAGAATATTGTGCAAAAGTTCATTTATTTCAGTAATGCACTGTAAAAGGGGAAACTAATACAAGAGATAGACCAGTTATACTTGATGCCACTGCTGATGTTTGTTTAATTACTCACCTGAACCTAGCTGATGTGACAACGCAAGCACAATGCTAATTTTTACTTTTATGCGGCATTGTTATATTGAGTTTAAATCAGACGGACACTACCTTATACAAGCACCTACTACGCCACCTGTTGCACTTAATGCTCTGTGTAGCTACAGATAGCTGCTGTACTTAAAATTTACCAGCGATGATTATTTTATCTGTACAGCCCCACACATGAACGTATCTTAGCATTAACTTGATGGAACCCGTTGCGCTCTTACCACGGCATATAAGATAGGAGGTCACTCAGAATTGCTGCCTAGTCTAATAAAATTAGCCACTTTAGTGAGATTATATTTCTGTAAGCAACTACAACACCCTAAAGCATATACCGGGCTAACACCTAGCCAAGTCACTCTAGTAATGCTAAATGATGTATGTATTACGAGCAATAATCTAACCCCGCTTATGTTAAAAAACAAATGCGCAAACACGCAGGCCACTGTCCTACGCTTTTTATATATGGATATATGTTGATGTACGCTGTTGTGGCATTTGTGAAAACATTGTACCTACCCGCGCAACAAAAATAAATAATTACAAAAAATTTAATTTAAAAATTTTTTTAAAAAAATAATATGAGAGACACATTACATGCAAAGCCAGATAGTTCAAGCCATGATTTGTCATTAGTGCGATGATTATGGCTTACAGTTCATGAAAACCCCAAATCCACAATCTCAGTAAATTAGAATATTACATGCAATCAATAAAACAAGGAGTGTACATAGAACAATATCGGACCTCTGAAAAGAATAAGCAGGCATATGGACTCAGTACTTGGTTTGGGCCTCTTTTGCAGCAATTACTGCCTCAATGCGGTGTGGCATGGAAGCTATCAGCCTGTGGCACTGCTGAGGTGTTATGGAAGACCAGGATGCTTCAATAGCAGCCTTCAGCTCTTCTGCATTGTTCGGTCTCATGTCTCTCATCTTTCTCTTGGCAATGCCCCATAGATTCTCTATGGGGTTCAGGTCAGGAGAGTTTGCTGGCCAATCAAGCACAGTAATCCCACGGTCATTGAACCAGGCTTTGGTGCTTTTGGCAGTGTGGGCAGGTGCCAAGTCCTGCTGGAAAATGAAGTCAGCATCCCCATAAAGCTTGTCTGCGGAAGGAAGCATGAAGTGCTCCAAAATCTCCTGGTAGACTGCTGCATTGACCCTGGACTTAATGAAGCACAGTGGACCAACACCAGCAGATGACATGGTTCCCCCAAATCAACACAGACTGTGGAAACTTCACACTGGACTTCAAGCATCTTGCAGTGTGTGCCTCTACATTCTTCCTCCAGACTCTGGGTCATTGGTTTCCAAATGAGATGCAAAAGTTGCTCTCATCAGAAAAGAGGACTTTGGACCACTGAGCAACAGACCAGGTCTGTTTTTCTTTAGCCCAGGTAAGACGCTTCTGACGTTGTTTGTTGTTCAGGAGCGGCTTGACAAGAGGAATACGACATCTGAAGCCCATGTCCAGGATCCGTGTGTGTGGTGGCTCTTGATGCACTGACTCCAGCCTCAGTCCACTCCTTGTGAAAGTCACAAACACTTTTGAATGGCCTTTTCCTGACAATCCTCTCCAGGCTACGTTCATCCCTGGTGCTTGTGCACCTTTTTCTTCCATGTAACTTTCTATTAATGTGCTTTGATACAGCACTTTGGGAACATCCAACTTCCTTCGCAATTACCTTTTGAGGCTTTCCCTCCTTATGGAGGGTGTCAATGATGGTTTTCTGCACAACTGTCAGGTCAGCAGTTTTCCCCATGATTGTGATTCCTACTGAACCAGGCAGAGACCATTTAAAGGCTCAGAAACCCTTTGCAGGTGTTATGGCTTACTCAGCTGATTAGAGTGGGACACTGTGAGCCTAGAATATTGCACCTTTTCACAATATTCTAATTTACGGAGATTGTGGATTTGGGGTTTTCATGAGCTGTAAGCCATAATCATCGCACTTATGACAAATCACGGCTTGAACTATCTTGCTTTGCATGTAACGCGCCTATCTCATATATTAGTTTCCCCTTTTACGTTGCATTACTGAAATAAATTAACTTTTGCACGATATTCTAATTTTTCGAGCATTACCTGTATGCTAAACTGCACTAGCACAGCCACTGTGTGTTATACAAATGAGCTTGACTTCCATGCTCATCTGCTGCGCTCCACTATGGGGTATGGCATTGCTGTAGGTGAGCCAGAGGCATGCATGTGCCATTATTATTAAAAAAAAAACACAAAAACAACAACCAATGCTCGAGTGTCCTGGAGTTTGTCGAACTGTTGGAACGGGATGTCGAGGTCTGTTTTATATTAGTTCTACTGTACTTATCACTCTTTAGTCCCACTTTAAAGTAACACTATAGTGTTTACAGTACAGATTAGCATGCCTAACACTATAGTGTAATCTAGTTATGAGGGCTTGAATGGTGAGATTTACTTACCCCTCAACCCTTGCTGTGTTGGTCTCCTGCTTCGGGACACACCTCTTTGGCTAAGATAATTAATCGAGGATCTCAGCCAATCCAATTCCTTCCCATAGCAAAGCACTGGAAGTCTAGTGCGCATGCGTGGCAAAACTCTGCACTGTGCATATCAGATGGTCTCTGAGATCATCTTATTGAAATAGAGTTTTAAAACCCTGCACTGTAAATATTGCAGTTCCTGCAGAATGGCAATGTGTTCACTTGCAGGGTTAAAGCAAAGGGGATATGGCACCATGTCCACTTCATTGAGATTAAGTTGTCTGGGTGTCTATATGGTTACCTTTATTATTATGGAAAGCAAAAAACAAGGGACTACAAAAATGGTTATGTTACAGAGAAAATGCCTCATACAAATAAGCAAGAATGGAGAGAGGATACATGTATGTATCACAGCATAAAATTGTGGGGTCAGAGAAATGTCTTTATACAGTGCAGAAAGCAAACGCAAAACACACACACTCAATTACCCTCTACCCCAGAGCCCCCTCAAAAAGTTGTGAGCTATTTAAGATGTTAATGTGGCCTTTCCACTTTTTGCTTTAAATGAATACATTCGGACCCCCTCCTGTCTCCCCATTCGATTTTCAGGTGAAATTATTGTTTGGTTATACGCAAGAAAAAAAAAAGGTGGATGGATCTTTTTGCAATGGGCAGAGCTGAAGCAAAATTCAATTTCAGGTGCTAAGCTAATTTACCCATAAACCATCTGTCAAAATCCCACAAAGGGCAAACTGCAGACATCATGGACAGAGGTATTCAAAATGGCTGCACTCATAATGAGATCCAGTGCAAAAAGAAAAAGGCAATAAATGGAAAATAAAAGGCAGTGCAACTTCAAGAAAGGCTCCTTTCAATGACTGACTGTTTCTGAAATATTCTCTACTTAAGAGAAACAAAAATTTTTCTTTTAGTTAATTAAACCATTTATCTTTTCTGGTAGGGCACCTGTTAAATGAGGAGGCCTGAAAGTACACCCGAGAACATTTACCTTGCTGAAGTGTTTTGTGTCTGGTATCGGTCATATTATTGACAGTTAATAAAAGTGCTTATATCAATAAATATTGGCATCTTTATAATTTGAGGCAGAAACAACTCCTGGGCTGTCACTAAGACAATCAGGTTGCACATAGCTTTTCTGTGGGAGTGTAAATATACTTTGTATCTTTATTTTGGTACTGTAGCGGGTTGTTATGAGTGACCAGATACATTGTATTCCTACAGAGCAGCTGATCTTTATGCACTAACTTTGTAGCAGTTTTCTATACTGCAATAGAAAGTTATTTCACTGGAAAAGAGCGAGTTGGATTTCTGCTATAAACCCACTAAAACATAAGAGTCTGATCCTCCCAGAACGGTGCTGTTTGAGTGGCACACATAGCCAATCATTACTTGCGAGTAGCAATGCAGTGTTTTAGAAGGAATTTTTCTAACAGAATTGCACTGTTAATTGTGTTTTTTTTTTTTTTTAATTTGTTTTAAAGAACAAGAAAATTCTATGTGATGTATAAGTAAACACTAAAATAGGGATTTGTGCACCATTTCTATTTTTATTATTTTATTCGGTATGGTAATTTCACTGAAATTCCAGCCCAGTAAGACATACTAAGAGAGTAGGTACTACTTTGTCTCAGTATATTTTGCTCCAGCTGACAGAAAGGGGTGTTCTCTTTTGTCAAGCTTGTCACTTCCCCTACCCATCACCAGTGATGGCTGTAGGCAGTAGTGTACTAACAGGAGGGCGGTCCGCTCAAGATGAAACATATTAGGGGGGTGCCATTACGTTTGGCACTGTGGCCAATGCGGTGCGATCTCCGGCTAACCGGCATGAGGGGAGCACACTGCAAAGCGCTCCTCTCCTGCCGGTCACTCCTTGTAGCGTGGCCGAGCAGGCAGACCGCGGAAGAGTCTGTTTTCTTTATGCGGTCTGACAGGAAGTGCTCACTGAGAACAAACTACTTACTGTCAGACAGGGTAGAGGAAACAGAGGCTTCTCCACCGCGGACCACCTACTCGGCCATGCTACATGGTGGCAGGCGAGCAGAGTCGGCCTTAGGGGTGTGCGAGCTGTGCGGCCACACAGGGCGCCATAGACCGGGGGCGCCCTGACAGCCGACAGCTCGCACATGGCCGGCTGACAGGGGAGCTAAAACAGGTACCCGGGTGGAGGATTAATTATTCAAAATAAATAAATAAATAAATAAATAATAATATCAGTGGAGGGGGCGGGGCTAAATGAGCGGCAAGGCGGGGCTAAATTAATGGCAGGGGAGGAGCCTATACATACCCGAAGCTGCACAGGAAGAGGGAAGCAGGAAGGCGCCCCTGCTTCCACTCCCCCTTCCAGCCATAATGGAAAGAGGTAAGTCTGTGTGTGTGTTACTGTTTGCCTGTTCATGTGTCTGCCTTTGTGTGTGACTTTTTGCTTGTTCATGTACGTGCCACTGTCTGCCTGCCTCTGTGTGTTTGTGTGTGTGACTGTGCCTTTGTGTAACTCCAATTGTGTGTGTCGCACTAGCTGTGCCTGTATGTGTGACTATCTGCCTTTAACAGTGTGTGTGTGCCTATCATAGTGCATGACTGTCTGTGTGTGTCTGTCTGCCTTTAACTGTGTGTTTGGCTCTGTGACTGTCTGCCTGTAACTGAGCATGTGTGACTGTCTGCCTGTAACTGAGCATGTGTGACTGTCTGCCTGTAACTGTATACAGGAATCTTGGTGTGGGGCGCCATGAAGACTTTTCGCACAGGGTGCTTAATGGCCTAAGGCCAGACCTGGAGGCGAGGCTGAGCAGGCACAGGAGGAGGGGGAGGCGCAAAGAGGCACACACAGAGGGGCCGAGGGGGAAGCGCAAAGAGGCACACACAGAGGGGCCGAGGGTAAAAGGTGCAAACAGGGGCCGAAGGCGAGGCGCAGAAAGGCACAGAGGGGGAAGGGGAAAAAAAAAAAACATGCAGATGGGTTGGTGGAGAAACAAACACTTGTTGGAGGGGGAGAAAACAACCAAGCCAGCCAGTGCCAAGTCACTAGGAACACCCCTCAAATTAAAAATTATTTGTGGTAAACTTAGTCAGTTTGCAAAATAAAAGCACAAAACAACCAAGTTGGGAAAAATCTAAACTTGGTTACTTTGACACAGATTTAGACAGCTCAACACAGTTCATAGTTTAGTTGGTAAGCCAATGTAACAATAACAACTTCTCCAAGACAACCTAGATATTTATTGGATTACACAGGTTTAAAAATAAACATGTATGTATGCACTATAATTGCTGTAGGTCACTATTCTGGATTCACATTACAATAACTGCAACCTGGCCACACCCCTTGAGCAAAGCTACATTTAACCCTTTCACACATTTCCTCCCAAATGCAACCCCAGCTGTTGCAGAACTACCACTCCCATAATGCTTTGCAAACCTTACCGCTGGCAAAGCTTCACGTACGTTCTTGCAATAGATTGGGCTCTTGTACCATTTTCTGGAATGCAAGATGTAGTAGGTCAGTTGCCTTTTTGAGAAATTATTTTACTTATATAACGTTTTTAACGGTTTGACTTTTAGATCAATTGATTAAAATGTATGTGTTAAGTGAAAGGATTGCGAATTGAGTGCAAGCTCCTGGGGGTAGATCAGCTCTTTTCCAGGGCCACAGCCCTGTATCCACCAACAGAAGTTCCCTGCAGCAGGGGTATCTGCAGAAACTCAAGAAAACACTCCAATATATCTTACCTCTTCTGCGCCTTTGCCTGTAGCCATCCCCATAGCTCGGAGCCCCTCCTGCAGCTCTGTGATGTCCACCTTGCCATCTTTGTTAATGTCCAGTTTATTGAAGAGCTCAGCATACCTGGAGGGGGTATCTGAACCGCTCTCACAGAACGTTGGGGTAAGCAGCATTCTCTTTATATGTTCCAACATTCTGGCTGAGAGAGATTAGAATGGGAGGCAGAGCACACTCGCTGGGCTGGCTTTGCCAAGATCTGCCTTGTAAAGTTGCTTGGGTGCAAGAGGCAATCTTGGGGTGCTGGAAAAGAAAGGCCAAAAAAGAAATGTAGAAATGCAAGCCTGCCAGTAGTATGACAGAAGGACACCGCCCAGAGACAAGGAGGGATCTACACTATCTGGGAGGACCCTGCAGGGAATTCCCTGTATAAAGTGGGAGGGTTGGTGACTTGGTACGACTAATAGAGCTCTGCTTCCTCACTAACTCAGCCCTACGCTCTGCATGTTCTGGCATCTCTCCAATAAGTGTTGCCCTTCCTCGTTCTATCACACACCTCTTTTTAATTGTCTGTGTGCCACTCCCTGTTTATGTCCATCGTTTGAAATGTTCAGTCTGTATATACAAACGTAAAGGGTAAACCCAAATTTCCTTTGCCAATGCAGAATAAAGTACAGAGCTGGTAAGCAGGTGGACTGCAGCACTTATAACGCCAAGCCAGACAATGTTAAATTGGCAGGGATTTTCTTTTTTTCAATAAAATGTGGAAATATTCTGGAATTTAATCTGATTTAAAAAAAAAAATTAATAATTCAAAATTTTGGTCCAAAATAGCCACATTTCCAACCAAACGAGAGAACTCTCAATGTCTCCTTCCTGGTAAAATATCTTATAAATAAATAGACCAATCTTTGTTTTATTTACTTTATATTGCCCTATAGGTCTACTCAGGGCCTGTGCAAGGATTTTCCATTACACAGATGCATTTTGGCCCTTTCCCCTTTTGTGTTTTAAGACATCCCAACATCCAAAAACTCATTTCAGGGAGGTGACTTCACCAGCCACTGCACACCCTCCCACATATACACCAAACACCATAAACCAAGCTTTGTTCCCCCACAGTCCCTCCATGTATCTCATCTCCCCTACATGTCTCATTCCCTCCAGCCCCCATGTGTCCCATCCCCCAAGCCCATTTATATGCACAAGCCTTGTTGATTGATGCTAGTAAACTGCCTGGCAGCTTTGTGTCATACAAACACAACAGAATGTGTGGCAAAAAAAGTTACAATGTATCTAAATGTGAACTGGCAACACAAATGAAGTGTGCACATGCATACCAAGAAGGCAGGCAACTCTGCAGGGCAGCCAACCAGGGCACTATAGGTAAAGCACTATTCAAGTTCTCTTGTACACAGAGAAATACCTTGGAAAAGATTTGCTTAACACGTGTATTTAATAACATAATTGTGCTGTGTTTTATGGAGATTGTTTTTGGATTTATAGAAGTGGGACACCAGAGGGAAAAATAACAAAACAGGACTGGTTTGCCGAATTTGAGACTGTTGGCAAGGATGGACCGTCTGACTTTAGATTGATCTGATCAATAAATTGACTTTGTAATGACACAAGTAGGAAGAAATCACATTCTCCTAATGAGATTCTCCTATGTACTTTTGGGGGAGGGCTGGCTAGATTTCATCTGACTGTACTGATAATAAAAGGCAGCCCTGGATAAATGTTATACCAGCCCTATAATATATTGTGCAAGCACATCGTGCTGTTATACAGATGGAAAAAAAAAAAAGCAAAGTCTTGCACAAGTGCTATGTGTGTAAAGAGTGTGTTCACTTTTATTTTATAAAAGTGCCAATTTCAATAGATATCAGCAACTTTATTACTATATCCTGTTACGTCCCCCCAGCTGTCAGACAGCCAGGAGGGTTATGAGTGGACAGCCATGCACATGCGCAGTATCTGGTTACTACCCGGCACAGATGAGAACATTTTATCAGGTCAAAAAGGGAGGGCTTGCAGTAGCTGCATATACTGAGTCTGCAGCTATTGCAAACAAAATTTTATTACCTCCAAAGAAAATATGCAAAATTAATTAAATTCATGTTACTTAAATTTGGGGAATATCTACTAAAAGAGTGAGAAACTACATTGAGCCTTTCAACCCCATCATCTTAAGGTCTTGGTTAAAGTCCGGTAGAAGGGCTGAAAAATTGACTGTATACTGTTGCATGTATGTTTAAATTTGAAAAGTTATTTTATTATTAAATTCTATACGTGCACTCATTCTCAGTGGATATATGCATGAATTATAGTGTCATAAATACAATAGTGTCAGACGCTATAATGTCAGAAATACACGTTTTCCTGGCACTAGACATGTGCAATTCGTTTCGTTCCAAATGTGAATTCAGATGAATTTCGGGCAATTCGGATGCCTCTGAAGTGACGAATTGCCAAATTGCCAAATGTAACAGAACCTACAATATTGCCTGGAAACCTCAGCCCAACAGGGTATCCAAAACCATTTCCTTACAGTCACTGACATTGCTCCTATGGCTGAGAACAAAGACTGTTCGTGTATTTACATTCTCCAAAGTGACTAATCGTGCATTTGGCCCAAATCGTTCGAATACCAAATTTTCTGTTGAACATCCGACCACCCAGAGCAGGAGTGTGCCAGCAATTAACCCTATTGACCTGTTATAAACCGCAAACACCTTAACGTTCCAAAGGATTAACTGGGTGGTCGGAAGCCATTTTGTTTAGTCGAAAGCACTCAGCGGTGTTTGGTCGTAAACCGCGTGGAACTGTTTTCGGCTACCATTTTCCACGAACACCGCTGAACTTTTACCTTCTGTGCGTTCGACTAAACTCATACGAACAAGGCTCTAATTCGTGAGTTTGTTCATCCGAACAAACTACATCCAGTGATGACAGGCATGAACAGTTCCATTCGTGCATTTCAGACTTATTACCAAGGGAAAATAGACCGACCGCAGAGACTGAAACTGTGGAACTATTTTGGGCATAGAAATGTGTGGGCGGTCGGTCACATCCACCTTTTCACTAACTCCCGAATCACTGGTCCAATTCGTGCCATTTTTGGATATGTTGTTCCCCTGAATGGCTTGTTTATTAAAATTTAACTTTTATTAATATCCTATGTATAGTTTTAAAGTTATGAAAAATGCATGAAAGTATATTTTTTAGCTTGGAGATAATTGAGTTGATATAACGATTAACTCAATTATCTCCTAAGCACAGGGGAGGAATGTACTGTAATTAATGGGTGTGCTTTTACTGTACAATTGTAACTGATTGGCTGTTGTATTCCCATTATCAGTGCCCCACAAGGTCCAGTGGGTGTTAACAGTCCTGTAAGAACCGGCATAAAAGCAGCTGCTTTGTGGTCATTAAATCAGTTCTACTTCACCCTTCAAAACGTAGCCTCGTCTCGTTATTGAAAGGGAACCTGCTCAGCATAATCACTAGCTCTTTTAAGAGCTCTACCTTACTCTCTATTTGGATCCCGCGGATGGGATAGCGCAGCTCCACTACAGCACAGCATCTTGCCAGGAAGAAGGATGTCTCCAACGGCTGATACCCCTCTAAAACCTTGGTAGCCGTTACACTGAAGTCCCGAATTGCTGAATTTTTTTTTTCTTACCCGAATTTCTGAACCAAACCAAAGTTTTTGCCCATGCACATCCCTACCTGACACTGTAGTGTACGTTTTTCAGCAATTTGAATTACAATAGCTGTGTGATTGGACCAGACAAGCTAACCTTCGCATTCCACATTTATCAATGAGCCTTGGGTTCTCATGACACTGATGCCGGTTCTCCGGTTGTATTTCCTTGATAGGTGTTAAATATTGCATACCAGGAACGCCCCACAGGACTTGTTGGTTTGAAGATGCTCTGACCCAGTCGTCTAACAGTCACTATTTGGCCCTTGTCAAAGTCACTCAGATCTTTTCACTTGCCAATTTTTCCAGCTTCAAACTCACAAACTGATTGGTCTCTAGTTGCCTAATACATCCCACCCCTTGACAAGAGCCATTGTAACAATATAACCAATTTTCTTCACTTCACCTCTCTGTGGGTTTAATGTTGTGGCTAATTAGTGTATATAAATAATACACAAATATTATCATATATATGCATTCCACTCTATGATTTTTATTTTTATTTTTTAATTTTGTCCTCAAAAGGTAAAAAGTAGATATATAGCAAAGGATTTAAGGAATGCACATTAACGCATACCCACTCTCACTGCCACACATAATGACACATGCAATCACTGACACAAACACTTATACATTCCATTACTTACACACATACTCATTCACACACTTGCTGATACAAACAAATCTCCTTGTGTCAGACACGCATAGAGGGGAGGGTAAGAAGTGGGACATCAGGGAACAAAGTTGGACCTGAAAATTGGGTCTGTCTCACCTAAATCGGGATGGATGGGATGCCTGCATGGTCATACTATACGGAGCATGCAATGTATTGGTTTGACAGATGGAGATGAGAGGTGTGACTTCATATAAACACCCCCCATTATCACTGGGAAATGTCTCAGAGGGCCAGTCCAGGCCTGGAGAGCATTAAGAACACAGGCCACCAGCTCATGAAGTGTTGGGCTGGCAATTCCTACCTGCTGACTCATTCCAGCAGTACTACGGCAACAGGCATTCCAACGAACGCCCCTTGGCTTTTTTAACCAAGTTCTGAAGAATGGTTTGAGGCTGCAGCCCACATCCCCCTAGTCAGCTCTTCTTTGCTAGTGGTTTAGCGGGGAACTGATTCCTTGCCAGCCCTCCTATGTGTATGGTACTATAGGGCAGGCTATTCATCCCTGTCTGTTACAGGTTGAGCTGGTCTCAGACTTGGTTTGCTACAGAGTTATTCACTAAAGGGAGAAATTAATTTGAATTTAAAACTGAGGGCCAATATAGCAGAACTTAAAAAATTCTCTAAGACAATTTTGCTATCAGTTCATCTTTTTTTCTCCCATGTAAATTTGAAATTCACTTTGAATTCTCACTTTAGTAAATAACTCTGTTAGTATCTATAATAAATCACAAACGATCCCTTTTTAATTACCACCCCTCTCCAAATTTCTCACTATAAATGTAAATTACTTTTCAGCATCTGCAGGTTTAAAAAAATCTATAGCTGCAAGACAATTGCTTCACCAGAATCAGTTGATTCACTAGACAAAAGTGTTGTATTCTTATGTCTGTCTTTTTTCCTAATGAAGTATATTGCGTCTATATATACAAAGGTATTTGAGCTTGAGCGTGGCAGTTGGTTACATAGATCACTTCACTGCCTGGACATGTTATCTGTTGTACTAACACATACATTCCTTTTAAGTTAAAACAAATATTAATTTTGTTAAAGAAACACTCCAAACACCATAACCACTACAGCATGTTGTAGTGGTTATGGTACCAAGAGT